AGGGAGTGATGACTGAGATGACGGATGATAGAGTGCTTTGGAGGAGTATACCCGGCGCGCCCTACGGGAGTAGGATAAGGCAGGGGAGATGATGATGATGATGTTTCGTGTGTAAATTCTACAGATTAGAATTCTACAGATCTAATCTATACGTTTCCAGATTTCTGGAAGAAGTATTTGCGGTACTGATAATGAAAATCGCATTTATTTTTGTCTGTCTGTAAGCCGCGGGTTATTTCCGAAACGGCTGAGCCGATTTCGACAGGACTTTTATTGAATGGTAGCTGATAGACGGGCATATTATAGGATACTTTTTATCTTAATATTGCTTGGACGAAGTCGTGGGTAACAGCTAGAAGAATTATTATAGAAAAAGTAATTCGTCAGAATTGGAGCATAGCTTTCTGATTATCTAAATCTATGTAGAAATAATTAATCATGTTTAATTAGTCCACAAAATAGTGTTAAAAACTAGGTGTTAGGCTTCTTTTTTCTGTTTATACAGAGATCGTATCCGCACTACTAACAACATGCTGGGAGATTGCTATGCGGCAGCCGTCGTAGAACATCTATCTAAGAAGGAGCTCATGGCTTGTGATTCAGCTTTGACGGTAAGTTGGTTTTTTGAGCGCGCACTTCGACTAAACTATCGCACAACAGTTGTGCGATTGTCAATTGTTTCGCAGCCTCAACTGTTTAGTTGCATAACTAAAAATCGAATATGCGCACCTTCATATCATACTAATATTATAAATGTGAAAGTTTAGATGGATGGATGTTTGTTAGAGTTTGTAGCCTAAACTGCTGAATAGATCTCAATGAAATTTAGCATAGATGTAGAGGATAGTCTGGAAGAACACATAGGCTACTTGGTTTTGTTTTTTTTTATTACCACGCGGACGAAGTCGCGGGCGAAAGCTAGTAAACTCACAAGAATCAAAGCGAGACTAAACAGTTGTGCGATAGTTTGGTCAAACGTGTGCGTGCGCTCTTAGATAAAGTCATTTATAGATTACTTGCGTACTGTTCATTGACTTTTCTTTTAGATTTTTTTTTTCGTTCCAGGAACCAACGGAATCTAACGGCTTGCTGCAGACTTCTAACACAGAATTGGATCTTGAGATTATAACTTCTGGAAATAAATCTATAGTATCCGAAGATGTCATCATTGATATGCATTTAAGGAAGAATTCCACTGCATCTAACAATAAAGTGTAAGAGTCAGGTGATGAAATGTTATTTAGTGCGTAATTTTAGTAATCATTTACAATTTAACGTATGTACGATATATCAATTTTCGTAAAACCTACTAGAATTAATGCAACTTAGATATACGTTGTTATTTAATGTTCTCCATGTATGAATGTATGGATAAATATTGCGGTATTCAATAGAACCTCAATAACTCAAACCTCGGTAACATAAAAACCTCTATAACTTCAAAAAATAATATGTTCCCTTCCCATCAGAGCTCAAAACCTCTACAACATAGACCCTTGATGACTTAAAACCTCTATAACTTAATATATCTCGTGTTTCCCTTGAACTTTACTTATCGAGGTTCTACTGTACTTCTTAGTTTCCGTTGGTTTCATGTTTACAGTCTTCAAATTCGGTAATCTTAGTTTTAGAGAATAATATTTCAGTTGTGATGTCTAGAAATCAGTTTTTATTGTTTAACTAGCTGTTCCCATGCGACATTCATTCATCCGTATGAAATTATAAAAAATATTTTATTGTTTACATTTGTCAAATTACAAATGTCAAAATGACGACATGATGACAACTTTGCTTCCTTAATGTTGGCAGCAACTTATGGTCTCTTTCCCACATTAGGGTTTTTATCCAAAATATTTACCCCCTAAGTTTAATGTCGTGAAAATATATAGCCTAAAGCGTGATGTAAGTCTAGGATTTTTTATTAAATAAAGAGTTATTCAAAAATATCCTATTATTGCCGACATCTTAGGCAACAAAGAAGTGTGTGTTTACGCTTTATTATAGTATAGATTATTCCTTTCACGGATATTTTTGTATTGCATTTATAGTGAAAGTAGCCCTTTGTAGCAATAGTCGTTGTTTTAAATGCTTTGTTAATCTTATTTCTTCTTTCATCTTATTTAGTTTGGTAGTTCAGATCCCTTTCTCTTTTCCACTCTTTTTTATAAGGAGAGGACGGGAACGGGAAGTGGATTTGACGGTGAAGGAGATGCATAAGAAGGGGAAATATCCTCTCTATGTGCGTCTCCTCCTCCGTCGGGTAAGGATAGGCAACGCATCTGCAATTGCGGATGTTTGTAGGCAGCGGTCGCTTCGCCATTTTGGCGGATTCAGGTTGCCGCTTGCTCTTTTGCTTCGTTTGTTATAAAAAAAAATGTTTTGATGTAGCTATATTCGTGTATATGTATACAGTTCAGTACCTATCTTAAGTTAATGTGTTATTAGTATTTATGTAATAATATATATTCTTTAGGAGACCTTATAGTTTTCATAAGTTTTATATCTTGACAAAATTGCGGTTTAAATATTTGGTAATATCATAAAAAAGAACAATATTATTTGAATATCGATAGTTGATAAAGTAATTTTTTGAGTATTTTAATACCGCCTTTGCACTATTATGTCATGAACGATAATAATGGAAACAGTTATTACTGAGGAACGTTTTTATAGTATCTTATCATCATCATCTCCTTATCCTACTCCCGTAGAGGCGCAGCAGGTTTTTGTCCTCCACATAACTCTATCATACGTCATCTCAGTCATCACTCCCTTTTTGATCATGTCACCTTTTACACAATCCATCCATCTCTTTCTAGGTCTACCTCTACCGATATATCTACACTCATAACTAACGTTCTCCTTGTAACATGCGATTCATCCCTCATAACATGCCCATACCATGCTAACCTTTTACTCCTTACCTTCTCTACTACGGGGGCTACTCTCAAACTTCCTCTAATATACTCATTTCGTGTTACACATCCATATTATCATTCGCATTTCTGTCACATGTAGTCTCCTTTCATCCGTTCCTTTTACTGCCCAACATTCAGATATATATTTTATTGTACTCGTATATTATCAATTTACATTTTGTAGAATGTTTTAATTCTTATAAGAATGTAGTTTCCTACTATAAAATCATAAATATTTCAAAAGTAATGAAACGATGGAAATTAATAAGATGCCAAATTGTCTATAAATGTAAACTTAAAAAGATTTGACGGTTTAAAATGGACAGGAAACGGAAATTTTTATTGATTATAAAAATGAAATGTACTTTTAAACGATTAAATTGAACAAGATAATGGAATTTAATAATAATTATGTAAAAGGAATAATGTATTACAGGTTATCAAGGCCTATACGTAATGTTTTTGATACTAGGAATTATTTGGAGTCGATAAACTTTTAGTCAAAGAAAGTGCTTAATTGTGGGCTTGTAATACCGAGGGTTTTCACTATCGAAACATGTACGTGTACAGTCTGACATAATGCGGAAAAACGTGAAACTAACTTTACATTACAAATAGATTTAATAAATCGATTGAAGCGCCCCCAAAGTCAGAATTGTATTCTAGGTCAGTTGTAGTTTTGAACGAATGTTTCGACAGTGGAAATAGGGGTTAATAGCTGTAGACTTAGATCCAACTGTGATAATGTATCGTATTTTAATCGATTCGTATGTTCAATCCTATTAAATAAAACAATATCATTGATTTTAAACTTTTATTTGTGTTTATTTTAAACATCGCAGCCAATCGTTGGAACGTAATAATTCTAAAACAAATATTTACAATCACCACCATTTATATCAAATTATTGGAAAAATAGCAGTTTTAGAAAGAACAGTAATAGTCATTTAAGCTTTACAAGGAATATAAAAACTTGCCATATTATGGAAAGAGGAATCCTTACATAAATTGGAAAGTAATAAAGAGGAAGATGGTAGCGTCCTCATGCTAGAAATTTAATATTCTTGGTTAGGTTATAACTTATTTGCATAAAATACATTTTATTTTACGATGTAAATTGGTTTAAAATATTTCAAATTTGATATAAATGGTCAAATGCCTTCAACGCTAAGATGAAAATCACAGTACGATATTTTCTACAATATACATTTTATTTAGTTTAAAAGGCACGAAGTTAACTTACATTTATATAGGAGTTTGATTTATACAAACATACTGTATATTACATTTTTTTATACTAAACATTTTAATTGCAATATCTAAAGTACACTTATAGCTTAGAGTAAAGCTTTTCCGTTTGTTTCTATAGTAAATTAACATGGCAGTCTTCATTTTATATCATACAAGGGACTAACATATACAAACTTATATATACATAAATGACATAAAATTAAACCCGAATTAAGACAATATTTACATTTACCGTAAAAATCGGTAATAAGCGCTTACAAATCACTTTGAGCATATTCAGGCAGAAAGTTTTACAAATAACATGCACAAAATGACACCATATCAAACAAACTAAACCGATTACATCGGTAATCAATAAATATTACTATAGTTATCAATACTTATAGGCAAAACAGTCGTGAGTATATGTACAATATTCTAAAAATATTACTATCTAATTTCATATTCTCATCGTTGAATGCGGAGGTTTCCTATTAATGGGCGCAGGCGGCAGTCCCGGCCCTACTAAGGGAGACATTGAAGGTGACCTCGTAGCAAGAGGTGACAGTGATGGTGAGAATGACGGGGACATTGCTGCGGCAGCTGAAAATCCCCCAGGAACATCATGACTTATAGGAGACCTGGGTAACAAATGCTGCGGTTGCCGACAAGATAACGAAGGAGCCGGACAGCTTCTCGGAGCAACCGTTGTCAACAAAGGCGGTGGTACACTTTTCCCACCAGATATAGAAGTCCCCTTACTCTTTGCACTAGAAGCACCACTATTACCACTTTGAAGCGAAACCGCATCATCTTTCAAATGGGCTATTTCAGAAAACACATGTGCTAACGGTTGATATCGCGGACCCCAATCAAGGAGGTAGTCCCAATTATAACTACCGGTTAATTCTTCTTCGGAATGTACAATAGAACTGAGACTTCCAGTCATAGAAGGCCCAGCGGTGGGAACAGCATTACTCTCTCCCGGAGCACTTGGGAAGGCACCCAGAGCCATAGCTCTATCCACAGCTGCACTCGCTTCATCTGCACTACTTGCTCTTTCACTTCCGGTAACTTCGTTTAATTTCGCATAAATCAGGTTAGTTATGTCATTCTCGTGAGCGCCGTCTTCGTCGAACATGTGCATTGAATCTATCGGGCCATGATGTAACATCGTGTCTTTATTACCAACATTTTCAGAACATCTTCTTGATGAAGTTGACGCACCTCCACCAGTACCAGTCTCGACGATACCAAGTCTTGCTAAGTATTCTTGAGTATTGTGCACAGAAACGTCTGATAGATTATCGTCATCTACTCCATTCGCTTGTCTATGCATGCCTGATTCTCTTTGTAAGGGTCCTTCATTTATCATTCTGATTTCTTCATCCTCACCGTCTTCTCCTTCTTCAGCTGATCCTCGACCACTTGAACCAGATTGATCAGAACCTGAGAGTTCCGAGGTAGTAGCTGCTCCAGAATTTGAACTAGCTGTGTGAGGACCATACGGTGGGATTTCGTCATATTTCGGTGGTGCAAACTGATTCGCTGAATTTACTGGACCCGTGTTTCGTATTGGTATTGTATCGAATCCACTAGGATCTACGTAGCTATTTGTGGCTCCTACACCTTCGGAACTCAGGCCTGGCTTGTTAACTTTTTTGTGTCTTTTGTTCTTCATGTGAAGGAACAAAAATGTCGCCGCAAAAATAATTATTATGAAGATGAAAGCAATAAGTAATCCTAACGCCCAATCTGATAGTCCACTACTTTGTGCGACAGATGTATCATTTATTAGGTTAGTGTTATCGGAAACCACTGCTAGTGGATCTAGCAGAATTTCCACGGCTGTCTTATTCGTCAAGGAACCTTGTCTGCCAGAACTTGCAGTCACAACTAAACTGATAGATTTGTCAGATCCAAAAAGACTTTGAACTGAGTCTACTTTTTTCTTTAGAATGATAACTCCTGTTGTTCTATTGATTTTAAAGTAAGAATGAGAAGTTGATAACTGATATACAATGCGACCATCGATACCTTTATCTTTATCCGTCGCAGTGGCTTGTCCTATAACATAACCCATTGGTAAAGATCCTGATTTCGGTACTCCAAAGTTGTAGGTTTTCTGTGTAAATTGTGGATAGAACTCGTCTCGACTCTCTACATCAATTCGTACTTTTACTGTACAGCTTTTGCCTCCTAGATCTGAAGCTTTAATAGAAAATTCATATTTATTTTTCTGTTCATAATCGAAAATAGCATTTGAATTTACTAATCCTGAGAAGGAGTCTATTTGAAACATTTTCCATGAATCGTCATTTCTGTTGTAATTAGATGCACTAGGAACTATGGAATAATTCAATTTTCCGTACTTTCCTTTGTCTAAGTCAGTAGCTCTGGCTGTAAATACAGATGTTCCGACTCTTTCATTTTCGCCTATGGTTTCAAAGTATTCAGAAACAGGGAATGTCGGTATATTGTCGTTTTCATCGAGTACATCAATTTCTATATAGGCCGAATTGCACAGACACGGAGTACCTTGATCACACGCCACGATTACTAGCTTGTATTTGGGATTATTTATATCGTAATCGAGCGTTTTATTAACTGTCAGGATGCCCGTAGTTGGATGAATGTAGAACAAGTTTTCATCGTCACCAGAAGTAATATTATAAACGATAGCCGAATTCGGCGTCCCGAATAGATCAGCGTCTGTTGCTGATACCTGAGTAAGAGTGTATCCAGCTTTTACATTTTCACTTACATTAATATCAAAATCACTCAAAGAGAATATTGGTGCGTTATCGTTTGCATCTGCTACAGTTACAAATATTGTTATTGATGTTTTATTTTGATTGTAAGATAAAACTTTTCCTTGTTCAACTGCTGCTAGTCCCAATACAAAAGATTCTTGAACCTCTCTGTCAAGTCTGTTCACTAATATTAGTGCACCTTCCATGGTAACATCAAATACGTCGCCATCGTTGCCAGAAATTATATGAAAATCAAGATTGTATTTCTTGAGTACATCATTGACGCTGCCGATTTGGAGTAGTGACGATCCTTTTTCAGTATCTTCGTTTACAGTGATTCTGAAAAAGTTAAAAACATTTTTTTATTCACTTATAAGAATAAAGTTACCATTTTAAAATAGTAAATAGTAATTTTCATGAACTTCCTTTTTATAATTTCATAAATTAAGCGAAGCACATTTTTTGAGTCATCTACATGGAATTGTTGTAATCGCTTATTTATTTATTCAGTAATACAATTCAAATACTATGTTAAATTACTGAAATAATGAAATAGGAAAACAATACCTGTAAGTATCTTGTCCGATAAATGGTTTAATTTCCGAAGAAGCGCCAGTACTTATTCTAACAGATGCAACTGCACTTTTGCTTGGTTTTCCCTGGTCTGTGACTAATACAGCTAACTGGGTATCCCGTTGGTTACTTGGTAAAGTGCTGTAGTTTACGAACATAGCACCGGTCACCGTGTCTATATGGTACCCTTCACTGGGACTGAGAAATGAGTACGAAACTTGGCCGTTCTCGCCGCTATCTCTGTCAGTAGCGCTTACTTTGCCAATTTTAAGTGTGCCGGAACCTTCTGGAACAAAAAAGGAAAAGTTATTGATGCTTTATCTTTATTATTGTGTAATGTTACTATATTGTAAGGATTAAAACAATTTTGAATAAATAAATAATTTATAAGGTTAAAAATACAAACCTGGTAACACTCTATTGTATGAAATTTCGTCGAAAACTGGCGCATTGTCGTTAACATCCGTAACTTTGATAGTTAACGTAGTTTTCGCCACATGTTCAGTATCAGAAGCTGTTATGTTCACTTCATATTGCTTTTTAGTTTCAAAGTCCAAAGGTTTATTGAGTACAATCTTCCCGCTATATCTGTCTATTGAAAACGTATTGTCTCCCTGAACAATGGCGTACTTAAGGGCAGGATATGTGTCAACGTCATTTGCCGTAACAGATGTCAATATCGAACCGACTTCCGTTCCTGTAAAAACAACGAAATAAATCAGCATAAATAAATTCGGTTTAAAATACTCTCTCGTTTGACTGCCACTTTAAGTATTCGCAAAAAAATGCTTTAAAACAAAACCACCGTCGCAGTACAATGATATAAAAACAAAGAAACAAAAAGAGATCGAGCGCAGACCGTTCGTTGGGGAGGCACAGCTAAAACATGCACTCGAAAAAAATGTAATACCGTCCAATAAATATTGATCCTAAAGGAGACCCTTTTATTTAATCTCGTCGTTGGAATCACAAAGTCGCAATGTAAGCCAGTCGTATAGCCGGGAATACAAATTATGTAAAATGCCTCCCTCTTTGTAAAGTGCTTTTTGTTCTACCAATTTATTTCGCAAAGCTATCGACCGCCCTATACCAATTTAAAAGGGAATACGAAAATGGTAGCAAAAACGCGAATACAAACGTACCTTCTGATATTGAAATGACGTTCGGTGGCGGGAACGTCGGCTGATTGTCGTTAACATCGACGACGTTAATTCTTAGTGTAGCTGTTCCTGTCATTTGGGGATCCCCTTCGTCTGTTGCAATTACTGTTAGCTTATACATTTCCCTTATTTCTCGATCGAGCACTATATTTGTTTTAACTGATCCAGAAAATGCCGGTTCAATTATAAAGGCATTGTCATGATTGCCATCAACAATATGATAAAGAATTCGTGCGTTTGCGCCACGGTCATCGTCTTTAGCTGCAAGTTGCACAACAAATTCACCTTTTGTATTTCCTTCGAGTACATTAGCGATATATTGTTGTTGTGTGAAACGAGGTGCGTGATCGTTTTGGTCTAATAAATTAATTATAACGTCACAATAAGCGTACAGATTTGGTGACCCTTCAGTTCGTGCCACGATAACAAGTTGACGACTTGGACCTGGATATGATTCGTAATCTAAATTTGCTGAATTGTTTACTCTTATAACACCTGTATTAGAGTCAATATCAAAAGCGTATTGATCGTTTCCGTTTCCAAACTCGTAAATAATTCTTTGTCGACGTCCATCACTTCTTAATGCTGTGACTTGTAATACTTCTTTGCCGTACGCAAGATTTTCTTCAATGGTAACATTATACGTCATATTTTGAAAGTTCAGCGTAGGGGATTGATCACTAAAATCACCTACACGAATTTCTATAAGTCCAACTGAGCTCTGCGGTGGGTTTCCCTTATCTTTCGCCACTACACGTAAATGGATGAATTTTCCATTTTCACTTGCCAAACTTTGAGTTGCTGTAAGCACTCCAGTTGTCGGATTAATTCTAAATCTATGGTTAGCAGTGTCTAAGAGCTCAAACAGTATTTCAGCATTAATTCCTATATCGTTATCTGTAGCAGAAACCCGCAGTAAACTTTGCCCAGGTGGTGTCAATGTTGCCATTTGTTCTTTAAATGGATATTTGGTGAATATTGGCTTGTTATCGTTTACATCGCTGATAGTGATTTCGACGGAAACTCGCTGTGATCTGGCAACGTAGCGTCCTT